TTTAATATGATTTAATATGATTTAATATGATTTAATGTGATTTAATATGATTTAATATGATTTAATATGATTTAATATGATTTAATATGATTTAATGTGATTTAATATGATTTAATATGATTTAATATGATTTAATATGATTTAATGTGATTTAATGTGATTTATAATTACAACTATTATAACATATTATAACTATCCAAAAATGACATTCCCTAGTCTTGAGCTCCAAGTCAAACCACCATTTTGGCCGTTGACCATTTGAGTGATGCGTAATCCCCACAAAAAGGAAGCAACTATGGGTATTGGATGGTATTGGATGATATTGGTCAAGTATTGGAAACTACTGGACCCACGAAAGGCTGAGAATTTCAACAAGGATGCCCGTGGCCCACAAGTTCCGGATAGATACGAGATGTGCAAAACGAATTAAAATGGTGGACGGTTTGCCCAGATATTCAACTTGTCCCCACTTCGGGACGATGGCAGCTGAAGAAACTTGCACAATTGTTGATGTAATCTGTCAAAATCTCGGTCGGAGAGTATTCAGTACTATCTATGTAATCTATGTATTGAGAGTATTTATGAGTATTATATAGTTATTACATGTTTAGGTCATGTTTATGTCATGTTTTGTTCGCGTTTTTTCCGGCTCGTACCTCGCTCTCCGCTTCCTCGTCTACGCTGGCACTGCCGCTGGCACTGCGACCTGCGCGACTTGATCCACTTCACCAATCCAGGATCACCGCGAATCCACTCGAAGAATTCTTCATAATTGACAGATTCAGATATTATTTTATGACTAAAAATTAATCCAGGGATCTCCAGGGGTTGAAGAAAATAATACAGTTACTAGGTTACTAGGAGGGGGTACAAGTTCTTCTTAACACCTATCTTACAATCTTACAAAACATTTCTCACCGCCTGGTGCCCTGCAAGCATATTATGTTCCGGCCTCTGGCAGTTGGAGATTTTGGCCTCTCCTGAAAAAAACATCTTCAGAATATCACAACAACTCAGTTGCTGTTCAACTGTCAGTGAACTGAAGTCTTTGACATACGGCCAGAGAATCAAGAGCTGAAGCTGTTGCAGCTGGAATCCAAATCGGTTGAAATGGGTTGAAGCTCTTGGTCAAACACACAGTCTGTTAATCTCTTCTTTCAATTCAGCCTGAATGCCAGACTTCCATCTGCCCCACCTCGTCTCGTCTTGCCGACCTTGTACCTTGAAACAGAATGCTAAGCATACACGGCAAACTGCACATCATCAGAAGTCAATTTTTGCGCCAAATGATCATTACATGGCGTTTTGTGTAGCCCACTGCCCACCAGATATTTTGCAAATAATTAGTTAAAACATGTTAAAACCATTTAAAACCTCTAGCAGTAGCCAAGTTTAGCATTCAGGCATGTAGCACAGTGGCAGAGCCATGAACAACAACAAAAAGGCGGACAGTAGACTTAGTGCACTTTTGGCAGAGCTCTTCCATGCCCTTCCCAGCCTTGAAGGCCATCCTCCAGCATTGCCTGTCGCATTTCGCAGGGAAACGTATGGAAACGGAAACGTGTCATCCCACGAAGAGACTTCAGACAATGATGGCCAGCATTGTGGAACACCCATGCGACGTCAAGGCCTGCGGTTGAAGTCCTCTGCCCACGGCTTGGCAGTAGCCAGTTGGCAGCCTTCGCTCTACCTAGCGCCACGTCACAAGTGCCCACGCCACTTTAAGATTTTCACCAGAGGCCTGTCTTACAGTCGTTGGCACGTTGCGCAAAAACATGCAAAAACATAGCTGGCGGTACCAAAACAGGCCGCAGGTAGCTATCCATTAAGGCAGATAGCTTTCCTTGCACCTGGGCAGGATCATGGTTGAGATGAAGGCTGGTGGAAAAGGGATTGCATCCATGCAGTCTGGAGTATGATTGCATGCAGTATGATTGTATGATGACTAAATTCGTCTTTCAGCTCATCTGTCCACACTGCATGCCTCTGTGGGGATTGCCGAACTGAGATGTACCATCCGAAACAGCCTCAGAGTGTCAGCGTAGAATGCTTCAAGAGCAAAATGAATGACGTCGTTGGATAGTGGAAAAGTATGGAAGAGTGCAATCCACTTGCACAGAAGGATGCAACAGCTGCAACAGCAAAGCCACACTGGACCCATCGAGTCCCATCTGTATCCAGTTGGCGCACGAAGACTCTTTCCATCTCTTTCCTGTTACTTGAGTCTCCTATGCCATCAAGAGAAACGACTTCAACTTATCCAAAACTCATGCGCTCTTCTGGTTCCCATGGGTTTATGCCACCATCCCCCACCTGCAACCCAACCCGCTTCCGCTTAACGACTTTTCTGCAGCCAAGAAACAACCAAAGCCTCTTCCTGGAATCAGCGTAGCTGGAAGATATGAGCTGCGAGGCCTCCACGCATTACTCAGCGACTGCAGGTTGAAACATGTTGAAACCGCCCAACGCAAAGTGTGAATGTGAACACTGCAACGACACGAAGGGGAGGAAATGGTAGGAAGCTTGGTAAAGATTGGTGAGCTGGACGCAAGATGATGCAAGATCATGCAAGATGATGCAAGCCAAACAAGCAGCTGAGAGAGACAATTGCAATATGCTCTGACTTACACTATTTTCCAATTCAGTTCACACACTATTGTCAGACCACTCCCGCTCGCCAACTCTTGATGTCTTTTGTCAACTCAAATCAGAGCCCACCTTCCTGGCATTCCTAGGCCATTCTTGATCCATTACTGCCATTACTGCCGTTACTGCCGTTACTGCTAATGTTGGCACTGTCTCACCCGGCCGCCTGGTTACTTTGAACCGCACGTCGCGAGAAAATCACCGATGCCAGCTCTGCACACTGCTCTCCTGCCATGGGTCAGGGAAGAACAGCACAGAATGGACCCACTCCAAGTGCCCTATACGAAGGGAATTAGAGACACGGAGTTGAAGTTGGAAGTGGTAGGTCAAAGTGAGCCCAGGAAGCGGAATTCAGATGAATTACTAAGCTTTCCAATGGATGTATCATGATGTATCTATATATATCATTATATATATCATTATATATCTATATACAATTCGGGATCAGGGTCCCAAAACTGTCACCAGCGCAGCCTCCAAGGGCTTCTTCTTGCCACTGCGGCGAGCTGTGGGGCAAGAGCGCAAGCCTGGGGAAGACTTCCAAAACTTGGCCGCATTGGACCCAAAACATTTTCCAAAATGTTCCAAAACATTTTGGCCTTGTCTCCAAAACCTAAAAATTTCCAAGCGTTGAATGAGCCTCATCCAAGAGAAATTTGGGGAAGATAAGAAAGGATAAGAAAGGTGTATTTGCCAGCCAGCACACACCACACCCACCACATCAATTCAACGGTTGCCAGGGGCACAAGAGTTGCAAGCCGCTGGCCACCAGACGTTTCTGCAGCTGAGTCTTGCGTGCCTTTTCAGAAGACATGCGCTGTACCTGTACACTTGTGCGGCATGCAGCTTAGCATGGGATAGCTCCAGCAGCACGTGAGAACTACCTCTTGCTGGGCTTGATTAGAAAGTTAGATGATAGATGGATAGAAAGATTGATTGGTCGATGGATGGATGGATGGATGGATTGATGGACAGACAGGCAGCCAGGCAAAGAGGCGGACAGACAAATATTAAATAGGGAGATAGATGGTGGCTATATATATAATATATATATAATATACACAGTAATACAGTAGGCACACAATAATGGCGCAACAGAACCCCAAATTGTCAATCTGCGCCGAGTTTTGTCTGGTCCCTGCCGCCTCAGTCTTGATACATCGTGTCAAGTAGTCCATGTTGCGGATCACGTTCACACTCTGGAGGAAAATGTGCGCGCGCAACTGGACCTGGCACTGCGCAGTCTCGATTTCATCCCGTGCGAGTCCTTTCAACTGGCATACACGGGCATACACCAGCTATTGCAGTTATTGTTTGCTGTTTTCATAGGGTTGGCATGCGCCAAAACCTGGGGAACTGAACAAATTACATCAAATTACTACCAGCCACCCAAAGCTGAGAGCTAAACTATGCCCGTCTTTCTCGATGCTCGTTGAACCTCAGCGGAGATGACATGACTTCCAGATTCGAGCATTCCACATGTGAAACAAACTCTCACTGCAGAAAGAAGGAACCCTATACATCCGTTTACAATGTATAGATGCTTAGAGCCGAAACAACAATAATGAACGGCTGTGGCATTCACGTTTCTCAGGTTGGAGCTTGCTGAACGTCTTTCAGCAAAGCATCCTTCTGCTGAGACCTAGATGCAGAGAGCCAGAACACAGGCCAACAAAAGGCGACAAAGGTTGGCTAACACACAGAAAACCAAAGGGCGAAAGACTGTCCATCAAACGCTCTCCCTTCCATGTCATAATTTCATCCAAATAATCTAGTCATATCTAGTCTATCCTTTTTTAGGCATCAGTCGCAAATAAAAGCTTCAAAGGAATATATACCTGTCATGGCTTTTCTTTCTACAAATCTGCATTGAGCACCACTTGCGGAATTAAGGAAGTCCAAGTATGCCTTGTTTGGGGCTCCGCACAGTTCCTTCAGGCGCTGTTCAAGGCGACGCCGAACATGTGGCAAGTGCAAGCGAGAGTAGTTCTGCAGCAATACCTGGAATGTTGGATCAGGTGATGGTCTGCCCGTGCCCCAAAACCTAAATTGGAATGTCTGGATGAGATCTATTGAGACCTATTGAGATTCTGTTTTCGTGCCCTGCCCCTTTCCACTCCCTCTATTTCCCTGTAGCCGATGAGGCCTTCCAAGCAAAGGCACAGCCCTAGAAAGGCTTTTGTGGCAAACACTCACTTGGAGCGGTTGTAGCAACTGTAGCAACTTTCCAGCTTCATCAATTCATCGGTCCTGGGGCACTGAATTAGCGCAGCCGAACGCCAACAGACCAGCAGCCTGGGCAACCAGGCTGCTTGAATATGCAAAACCAACTGAGATGCGAGGATAGAGTGCAGTGATCCTCAGCCACGATCCTGAATTTGTGAATGGGATTGAATGGGTGTCAATCAATGTCAATCAGCTGCCATTTGCTTCGCTGTGGCTGCATGATAATATCATGCTCGCCCTCAATCTTCGAGTTGGGTCCACGGCCCAGCCCCACTGGTGCCCAAGCGCTGCACCGCCAGAACCTTGAATGATGCCGCTGAGATGGTTCTCTCGTGACACTTGTTGGTCAGATATGTAAACCACAGTAGGTGCAGTTTTTCAATTGGCTTCCAGGGAAGGGCAGAGTGTACTCCCGTCTACCTGAATGTCAATGCATATCAGGCACGATGAGGTTGAAGGAGGAAGAAGATTAGGAGAACATCGCAGTATAGGATGTCAGCAATATTTATGACTTTATGAATATTGACAATATTGAATATGATGTAATGATATGTAATGTCTATCCCTGAGTCAAAAAATGACAATTCTTTGGCTGGGCCGACCATATTCGAACAGCCGAACAGCCCATGCTCCAGGGCTCCAGCCAATCATTCCAACCAACGCAGCCAAGAACAGGCCGAAGATGGTGGTGAACCTTTGATCCATCTCAATACTCTGTCAATACTCTGTCAATACTCTGTTACCAGTGCAACATGCGACCGTTTGATCAGATCCCTGGCAGGGGATGTCCAACAGGCAGTGGAACATGTTGTATGCCATGACCAATCAGATTATCACCTGTGAGCCTGTGGGTGTACCTGGACCGGATATGGGGTGCAGCTTCAGTCAGTATCAAAGATTTTCACTGGCATCAAGAAGAATACCTCCACCCATCCACGCGTTCCACAGAAAGAAAATGTCCCACTTCACATTGATATATGTTTCCTTTCTCAATAAATGTTACCTGTTACTGTGCAACTTGGACCCTTTGCTTTGTTTCAAGACCAACTGCAGTTTTTCAGTCTGCGTTTGCCATTTCGCAAATGGCAGTCAACTCTTGATGACCACTGACCACTACATGTTGATCAGTTCAGGAAAGGTTTGAACCCTGCAAACTGAGCAAACTGAGCAAACTGAGCAAACCGAGCAAACCGAGCAAGCTGAGCACCTGGCTCTGCCAGACTGTCCGAAAGGTCCTTGGAGCTGAGCAAAGCTGTGCTATTTAGTCCAAGTCTTGAGCCCTGACGGCTCTTTAGGCACTGAGCACAGTGCTGATGAAATCTGTAGCCAACATCTACCATCCGAAATGTTTCCACATGGGCCGCATGGACGTTTTCAACATGTCGTTCTACTACGTTCTACTGCTACACCAGGCTACACCAAGAATCGCGCCCCTTTTGGATCGTTTTTGAATGGAAAAAATGTCGTAATGGCGGAAAGCGTGAGGCAGATCCACCAAGTCAGCTGGAAGCCAACTGTGTCAAGTCATTGGTCGCAGCTGAGTCCCCCACCACCTCTTCCATGCCACGACCAAGTCCAAAGGTTCCAGATGCAGCTGCTTTGGCTGCCTGGAGTCTGCATGGGCCATGCCACAGCCTTGTGTTCAAGCGTGTGCCAACATATACTATAATATACTACTCCGTATCAAGTCTCGCATAGTTTCTCCATAATCTGCAAACCAGTCTCAGGTAAAAGCCAGCTACTTCCCGGGTATTCGTGGTTCCCATTCTCATGTCTCAATGGACTTGTCTCAGTCTCCGCATGATCCACATGGGAGCCAAGGCCATACTGTACGATATTGCTCTCATCACAGCCCTTTGACCCAAAGTACATCGAACACAAACGTTTACGCCCTGATTGCAATGCACCCCAGCCCCAGCTGCCTTTGCTGGAAATCCCAAAGCTTCACGAAAGCGTGTGGCCACTGCCACGACATCGCTCCACTTCCAAAACAAAGAGCTGCGAGAAGACTCCTTGCGGTGCAGGATGGTGAAGCTTTCGCAAGGTATGCAGCGAGTCCAATTTCCAATGTTTTAGCTGGCCGTAGCTGGCTTGGTCACTTGATTTCAAGCTGCAACCTCCCAAGTGAGAGAGACTGGCAAAAACCTAATCACCCCAGCAACTTTGCAAATGAGCCTGGTAGGGTGCTAGCCGGGATCGCAGGTCCTGGCAAGAAGGAGCCCTTCGACTTAGGCTTGCTGTAAGATTGTGTTGCAAATGGAACGGCGACCCGGAGCTTGTTGTGAAATTTGGGCAAAAGGCACCTTCTGCCCAAAAGGTTTGAGTTTAAGTCTAAAACGGTTCAAGTCAGTACCATATTGCCTGGTGCATTCTCGCAGGCTATCTCTCGGTCAGGGCAAAACAACAACCCTTGGAGTGAACTGGTCTCATATGGCCTCATCACGCCTCAACATGCCTCAACTTGTACTGCGAAGGAAAAGTGGGAGGCTTCAACATCAATGCACAGATGTCCTGCAAAGCTTGAAGGTTTTGCTGCAACGCCTTCACCGGCAAAATGGCAAAATGCGCAATGTGACGATCCCGCCGGAGCTCCGCTCCGTCACAAATATCTTGGCTATTTGACAGAAATCATGCCAACACAAAGATCATTATAGATCATTGCATGCAACTGGCGGCTGTATCGGCACAGTTTCAAATGATCATGTCAGTCGTCTCATTTTGGTTCATGGGTTCATGGCCCTCATGATATCTCATGCATCAACAATTCGCCGACTCCATGGTTTCGCCATTTCCTGAATCTCCCCTCAGACGTTCGACGTGCCTGCTGCAACCGCTCGAATTCCAGGCTGCCATCTGCCTGCCATGCTCCAGTCCTGCACCTTGCTAACACCTAGTCGTTCACTGGTGCCATGCACTCCTTCCATCTCCTTCCAAGGTTTGGAGACGAGGTAATTTTGCGACTGAACCATCCCTGAAAGGTGGCTGTTTCATCATGTTGTGTACTTGTGATAAACTTGCGATAGTGCACAAAGCAGGATGTGATCAAACTGATCAAACATGCATTCTATCACAACTGAACATGTTTCTGCCCTGGGTTCAATACTTGAAACATCTTGAAACGAACATGGCTTGTTTTCGCTGACGTCGTCCAATACGGCCCCGGGGAATTTGCTAGTTTTTAGCAAACATGGGTTGGGGTGGAGTGGGGTGGGATGTTAACGTTCATGGTACGCTGATGATGTTGCGCTGCCCGTTGGGGCTGGGGTTGGGTGGGGTGGGATGTTCACGTTCATGGTACGCTGATGATGTTACGTACGCTGCCCATTGGGGTTGGGGTGGGGTGGGATGTTAACGTTCATGGTAAGCTGATGATGTTACGCTGCCGTAGTAGTATGCTGATGATGTTACGGGCCCGTTGGGTTTGGGGTGGGGTGGGGTGGGATGTTAACGTCATGGTACGCTGATTACGCGCCGTTGGGGTTGGGGTGGGATGTAACGGGGTACGCTGATGATGTTACTCTGCCATGTTACGCTACGCTGTTCATGATGTTACGCTGCCCGTTGGGGTTGGGGTGGGGTGGGGTGGGATGTTAACGTTCATGGTACGCTGATGATGTTACGCTGCCCGTTGGGGTTGGGGTGGGGTGGGGTGGGATGTTAACGTTCATGGTACGCTGATGATGTTACGCTGCCCATAGTACCCTGATGATGTTACGCTGCCCGTTGGGGTTGGGGTGGGGTGGGGTGGGATGTTACGCTGGCGTCAGAGGGATGACAAACCCCTGCAGAGAAGAGTCAAGAAACAGGCCTTGCAAGACACTTCCACCGTGGCTGCAGTGTCAGAGATGTGTTTTCCTGTAAGTCTAGATATTTCTGATTGTCTCGAATTCATATGAATATGTAGATATACAAAAAATAATAATAAATAAATAAATATATATATATGTGTGTGTGTGTGCATGTCTGTGTATGTCAGGTTACACACACATATATATATATATATATATGGATATATAAATATATGTATATATACTATTATATACTTGCATATATGTATATAAGAATCAGTGTACATGTCCAAGTATGCAAGGTATCTGTCTGTGTCTGGTCTATCATGTATGCAACACGATCCTAACATATTGCTGGCTTCCAAGCGTTTTTTTTTTCGCTGATTTGCACATGGGCTTGTAAAACCCATTGGAAATAGCACAAAATGGACACAAAGTGCTGTAAAACGCAATGCATTTGAAAATGGCGCAAAATCCATGGTGACAGAAAGTGCCATAAGGGTTATCGAAATAGCCAGATGCTTGTTTTCAAAACAAGCAAAAACAGCGGGACCGCAATGGACGACGTTACCTTGTTTTCCCTAAGTCCGTATCCCATCCAGGGGAATCTGACAGTTGTGACATCCCCACGTTGAACCTCCGACACGGATCCGCCCACAGCATAGTCATCGGGGCCTCCAGGCATTCAAGTGTCACAGTTGTTGAGTAGGATGTCGTGCTTAAACAAAGGCTCCAAACAAACTGTTAAAATATGTTAAAATATGTGAAAATTGTTACTGCAAAGGTTTGTCATGTTCCGTTCGGGTTGCAGACAATGACGTAACAAATGTGTAAAGTTGGACTTCTGCGACAGTATCGCTCTGAAACTCAGAAGCACCAAAGGTTGCATCCAAATCCTCCGACCCTAGCTGAGGGGGAACACGGCAGGGAATAGAGGTCTGAAAGTCTTGTAAAGTGGTTTGAAGAACTGCAACGATTATACTGGCAATTATTGTTATGTTCATGTTTTACCCGAACAGCAACGACAACCGCAACCACGACAACCACGACAACGACAATGATGACGACAAGAAAGACGACAACGACAACTCAAGATCTTTGTTTCGCACATTTCTGAAAACTTCTTGGCTATTTTGATGCAATAGGCTTCCGACCGTAGAAGGAAACATATGGAAACCTTAGGAGCTGTCGCAGGTTGCTGGGGGATGCCTCAAGGGATGGTGCACGTGAATGATGTGCATCGAAGGAAATTCTCTTGTCCCGAGGTCGTAAGGCAATTGTTGTCAGTGTCTGTGAAGAAAACACGAGAAAACTGACGAAACTGCTTGAGGCTCAAGGTGCCAAAGTCAGGAGAATCCGGAAGGAACACTTGGAGATACTTGGAGATACTTGGAGGCTGGTGGATGTCCACCGTCCTGAAAGCCCTCGAGTGGCATCCTTCCATTATCTTCCATTTCTTTCGAATCTCTTTGAAAGTTGCGACAAATTTCGTGCTTTAGGGGTCGCAAAAATCTCATATAGCTTTTGTTGTACAGCAAACGACTACAAGTGACAGTCGAATTTGATCCATAAATATCCTACAATATCAATAGAATATCAATAGAAAGTCATAGAATATCCACCTAAATCCACCTAAACAGTTGGGGTATGTTGGGGTCCCCAGGCTGCCCGCGGGGACATTTTTTGGGTCCCCGGCCGCCGGTGCAGGCGCTCCGAGAACAGCAGCGTGCCCAAGGTTTCACCCTCCCCAGCCTTCAGGGGTAGGAAATCGGTAGATGAGGAATGGGGAATGAATGAGGATGCGGATGAGGATAGGGAGGATGGGAATAGTGGGAATGGATGGGAATGGTGGGAATATGTGGGAATGAGAATGGGGATGGGAAGCAAATGAAACTGAAATCCCTCTGGGATCTCTGGGTCTCTTGCAAATTCTCAAAGTGATGCCACTTCTCCCTCTTAGTGGAACCAGTGGAACCAGCTTTAATGTCCCATGTTTGGGAATTGCATTGATGGGACAACACCCGACATGTCACAACACATAGCAACCCCAAAGCAACCCCATAGCATCGAGGCCTCCTCCGCACTACAGCTGTCCTCTTGCAAGAGGCCTCAAAGTGTTGACCATCCAGAGTTTCCACGTTTTATCATGCCTTAGATATAGAACTTCTAGAACTGTATAGCATCAGTTTAATCCCTTGTACATAAGTTGATATGGAGACAGGTGTTGTACCCTTTTTCACCTGATCTCTGATGATGAGAGCTGAGGCTGGGCGACCCCAACGAGCTGTAGCTGTCCCACCAGAGGATGCCTTGGCTCCAACGTTTTGCACCTATGACTTTGTGGAGACACGAGAACGCTTTTTTTCAGGAACGCAGGGCAAAGCCCTGATGGAAATCATCAAATTATGATGAATGATGACATATATTAATATATATATATATATTGTATGTATTATATGTAATTGTAACTTATGCTATATGTTATATTATATTCTGTTGTGTTCTCTTCTCTTATGTTATGTTCTGTTGTGTTGTGTTGTGGTATGGTGTGGTGTGGTGTGGTGAGGAATGGTATGGCATGGTATGGTATGATTGTGATTATATTATATATGTATGTTTATGCATGATTGTGTATGATTATGTATGAATATGTATGATTATGTATGATTATGTAAAATCCATTATGTGTAAGTGTGTGTGTGTAATTGTGTGTAACGTTGTGTGATTTTGTGTGATGTTGGTGTAATTTTGTGTAACTATGTATGATTATGTAATTCTGTATAATCATGTACAAGTGTAATCATGTATTATCATGTATAATCATGCGCATATATATATATAATTATGTTTAATTGTGTATAGTTGTGTATAATCATGTATAATTCTGATGAATTATGTATAATCAAGTACGATCAAGTATATTTGTAATTATATACACATATTATACATATTGTACATATTCTATATATTCTACATATTATACATACGTACAAGTACTACATATACATATTATACAGATTACACATATTATATATGTATTGTCACGTATGTATTATATAATAGATATGTTGTACATACGAGATCTATTGGGATGTAATATGTGTGTATCTGGGCTGCAGGCTGCGCTTGGATCTCGAGCCATCCACCAGGTCATCATGGCCTCTCCAAACGCTGCACGTTCCCAACCGTTCCCAACAGCTTTTGTCAAAAATGGACCTTCACTGTGTGCCTAACATGTTCCCATGAGTTCGTCTTTTTTTTCTGCCAAAGAATCTCGCACTTTGGAGGATAAACACCCAACTTTGTAAATTGAAACAGTTTCCACCCTGTCCAACACCAAACCAATAGATCCAACATGATCCAACAGACTCCACCTGCATCTGATCTGGATCCGAGCACTCCAAGGCACACCTGGCCATGCAGTTTTTCAGCCGACCGCTGAACCACTGGGCTCTGGGCATCAGAACAACAATAGAAATTAATTAGAAATTAGTAGACCTGAATTGACCTGAATGATGAAATTTCATGAAAATTCAAGATATTTCAAGATGGTTGACTCGTTGACTCCACAGGATTAGATGCATGGCCTCTGGAAGTTGAAATTGCTGCATGATGGGATGAGGCTGTGGTTCGAAATGGGAAAGTCCGGAAAGTCCAATTCAGGCCTCATCCTGGCCGATTCAACCCGTGCTGCTCGTTGCACGGCCCTGTCCACCTGTGTGGCACAATGGACAGCTGGAAGCTATGGGAAGCTGCAAATGGTGGATGCACATGGATGCACATGGATGCACTGTGTCGCTTGAGACTTCGCTGAACTTTCAAAGAGGGTCTTTCGCATTCTGTGCTATTTGATATAGTTGATGCTATTGGTATGTGCTTGCGAAGGCCCTATGAACAAATGATACAGTAAATGCTGATTAGGAACGACCAATGCCTATCATTCACTATCATTCTAGATTGATTCCAGACTCTGCATGTGTAGTCATCCGAGACATGCACAACCAAAAATGGTCCAGATGTTCTTGAGAATTCCAGACCCAGAGGTGCCATTTTTTACTGCCTTGGAAATAGCCAAGCAATAAGTTGCCTATTGCTAGTTGCACTATTGCACTCGTTGACTGGAACAATTCCCACAGAACCCCTGCCTTGAGCCACAACCTGAGACCACGGTCAAAGCACCAGTTCTTGCTTAACTTTAACGTTATCTGAGATTATCTCAAATGTTATCCAACGGGCTATCCAACCGTCTCCGGTCTGCTCTTCATCTTTGCTTCTCTGCGCGTGATATCGCATGAGATTGTCTTCTTCTCCACAGATTGAGCTGGTGGTCAGCAGAATTCTGGAATCCCTTCCAGCAAATCACCCAGGATTTGTCAAAAGACTAGGGTAACCCTACCCAACATTTCAGCATCGAAAGGGTGCCCGAGTTCACTCAAGCATGTGTTTCGACAAGGAAAAAGTCATCCTATCCTCAACCAAGTGCCCCGCCTGGGGGTTTCAGACTTTGGTGGACAAAATGCTCTTTCGTTTGCAGAGATCCAAGGTGCATGCAATGCATAGAGACGCTCTTGTTTTCAACTCTTCTCTGAAAGGCCTGAGGTGCTGAGTCTGCCACGTTTCACTGGCACCAAATGGCTTCAAATCAGCCATCAGCAGAGCCACTCTGGTAGCCAGAGAACATGGTGGAAAACGTTGGCCCAGAGAATTGCTATGTAAATGCCAAAGTGGTGGTAGCGGGTGGGTTTTTGACTTGAACCTCACACCACTCCACAGAAAGAATCAAAGGTTAAATACTGCAAACTCACTCACTTGATTGTCACAACGCATTGTTATGCTCCTCGACAAAATGCTCTTTCGTTTGCAGAGATCCAAGGTGCATGCAATGCATAGAGACGCTCTTGTTTTCAACTCTTCTCTGAAAGGCCTGAGGTGCTGAGTCTGCCACGTTTCACTAGCACCAAATGGCTTCAAATCAGCCATCAGCAGAGCCACTCTGGTAGCCATCCTCGGGCTCTGCTGCCCCATCCTGCACGAGGAACGTCTCCTCAGAAAGCACCGCGAAAGCATCCACTGCCTCCGAAGTAGCAAAGCTAATGTCGCCTGCCACACGAATCAAAAGCTTCCAGAATGGTTCAAGGTTCAAATGAAGTCGTTGCCAGGAAGGTTGCACAATGTCAAAGCGAAATCTGCTGATTGGGTCCGCAATGTTTTGAGCTGACGGCACCCACTCAAAATGAGGATAGATCTGCAAGCGTCCGAACCAGCACCATAGAAAGGACATCACACAATTGATTGCGGGGTCACGGCCATAGCCCTTGCTGAGGCAGCTTTGCCCTGGTTGGTTGTCGATGTAGCTCACAACGTAGGCGGAAAAATGCTTCCGCAGCAGGACAAATGCAATGACCTGGGTCAAGATTTCTAAAGCAAAAATGTAGGCCTTCCGTTTGGCGAAGACCTTCAAAACTTCTGGTGGTATGACACCAGCACAAAAGAGAGTCTGTGCACCGATCTTGAGGACAATCCCCCAGCCGTTGACCAGTAGCGGTGCCTGATTGGTATTCCACTTCTTGGGGATGTTCTCATGGTCACTGGCATGCCAAACGTGTTCCCCCAGTTTGAAGAAAGCATCCGTGTAGAGCACCGTAACAGGTTGGTCGGCCTGAAATGGAAATCGCCTGGGTGGCATGCATGGAATCAGGGCCCGTAAAGTAGTGAGCACCGCTGTCAAAGCATGAGTTAATTGGTCATTCTCAACTCGATCAGAAGGTAGGTGGTGAGCACGAGCATACAAAGGCGCAAGCAGTGCCATACCCATCTGTCCAAATGAAGTCGTTTGCAAGAAAATCAACTTGCCTGACAGTGTTTGAGCTTCTTCTGGCGTCAAGCGATTGGACTGCAGGTAGGTAGTGATGTTGGTCATCAGACGTTCGACCCGTTGTGGACAAGGGTGCAGAGAGGCATCATGGGTCGTGGTCGAAATCATCACCCCGAGAATCTTCTGAATCTTCGCTGGTGGTTGGGCCTTCTTGGCTTTTGTCTGTAAGCCCAAAACCTCAAATAGCTGGGCAAAAGATCGAAAGCCTGATTCAGCTAACGGGGCTGGTTCGGTGGCCCCGAAGTCATCAACGAAGTGTAGGCTTGGACACCACAAGAGCTTCCGCGCCAGCGTAGTCAGAGTGTCGGCTGCCCTGTTGAAAGACCAAACCGACGACACCGCGCCGAAACTCATAGCATTGTGTCGAAAAAGGACAACTCCTCCTGGTGTCCTCATGAAGGTGTAGTTCTCTTCAATACATGCGACAGCGAACTGTCGGTAGGCTGAGGCCATGTCGTGCCCCCAAGTGGGGCGCAAGTTGCATCCATCTGCCAGGGCCACCGCTGAAGCAATGTAGTTGTCCACAGTGTGATGCAAGGGGCTGTCACTCACCCGGACGGTTGAGTTGTGCCCGCTCCTCCTCCAATCTTCACATCTCCGTACTTTATCTGACTGCTGCACTGCAAAGCACCCTGCTGACAAAACGTGGTGGTGCGGCGCTGGCATCATTGGAAGCCCATTCACTGACGTGCCAGGAACCCCCCATTCAGCCGGAGTCTCGAAGGGCCCATCAACTCGGCCCATCTGATGCTCTTGCACGAGCTCATCCAACATCGATTTCCAGTGAGGATCGATGAGCCTGGAATTCAGCTTGCGGGCAACGTAAGCTTTGTTAACCTGGAGAAACTCTTCCCTGGAAATGGGACTAGTGTAGCGGCTGTCCAATCGAGGGAGCCAGCCAGCTCCAGGTGAAAGTTGCCCAGTGGTCGGGAAGCCGACGGTGAGCTCCTTGGCAAGGGTGGTCACGTCTGGGTACTTGATCTGTTCCAGGAGCCACATCCAAAGCGGCACTTGCAGAAAGCCCCCAGATTGAGAGTACACCTTGGCGACATGGTTGGGCAGAGTTGCCTTCCAATGGTCGTGAATCTCACGAAAGTCATCAGCCAGTCGCTGTAGGTCTGCGATCACCTCAAGGCGCAGCCGGTTGACATCTCCCCATCGCCGCCACCTGTCAAAGACCTGAATGATGCCAGGTTCAATGTGTGAATTGCAGAACAGCGGATGGACTGCCTGGTCAGTGGCCTCCCAGTGATCCCACATGTTGAAGGTTGGACGTTTGGTGCAAACCTGTTGAGTCCACTGTGTTGGGCCCAAGAGCAAAGGTTCATTGGCTGCCAGCTCCAGGACGAACTGCAAAGCGCTTGTGCGTGGTGCAGGAGTTGGTGCAGCCAACGCGCCACATTGTGAAAGTATCAGCAAAATCAGTAGCTTTGCCACCTGGAAATGCCAGGCGTTGGCTAGCATCCGATGCCGAGCCCGTTCATGGACCCCAGGAGCCTGAGTGAAGCCAGCCGGGAAGCCTTGGAGCTGCTCTTTCACCGCAATCGGTGGGGTGTGGAGTCGCCCCGTGGAGTCTGAGAGCATGGCGGTGTCTTGGTAATGCCATGGGGCATATTGCCGATTGTCTTGTTGCCAGCGGAGTTTCACAGAAGGAGGGATGTGCCCCTTCATTTTCTTCGGAGGAGGCCTACCTGCCTGGTTTGGGGCAGGCGTTGTAAGGCATGGCAACTTGGCCTGCCCGCTCTTGACCTTGTCATGAAACTCCAATCCATCTGTCTGGATGTCATCGGTCGTCACCCGTGGCAAATCCAAGATGAGCTTGGGGAGCTTGTGGACCTTTTGCCATTGCAGCGGTTTGCCAGTCATGGGACAGCTGCTCAAATCACACCACCTGAGGCGTGTCCAGAACAACCTAGGTCTGGAAATGATGGAGAAATCAGCCGGGTCAAGTAGCACCGGTTGGGCTTGAAGTGCATCAGTGAAAAACCTGACATCACCTGGGTTCTGCATCAACACGTTCTCAATCAATGGCACTGTGTCGCGCGGCTTGACCAGCTTCTCCAAACGGCTCAAAAACTTGGAAAACCTGACAAACTTGCTGCCCTCGTGGCCTTCTTTGCCCTGAGCACTCGCAGCAATGCCACTGAAGTCGGGGCATGGTGGCCCGCCAGAAACAAAGATGATAGCCAAACCTGACGGGTCAATCTGTTGGATCGTCTTGGCAAGCTCCGAAGGGTTATCTGCATCCACGTCTCCTCGATGTTGAACATGAGGAAAATGGCGATCCAGGACCCAAATGCAGTCGGGGCATGTCTCCCAGGAGAGATAGGCCAGCGGTCGGCCGATCACCTCCTCCAGTGCCAGCTCAGCGGTGCCGATGCCGTCAAAGAAAGCCAGGTGGATGAATTCCTTCCCCATAGAGGTCAAGGATGGGGTCAGTGCCACAGTAGTGTTGGTTGTGCCCTGGTCGGGTATCAGAGCAACTGGGGCACTTGCTCTGACCCCGGGCTGTCCCTATTTGTCTTTCGGTGCCTCATTCTGAGGCCGTGGCTGTTCCCAATCCTTCTGTCGCTGCCATGATTGCCATCCGCCACCTGAAGAGCGATGTTGCCATGAGGAAGAACCCTGAGATGGAGTCCAATCTGAATGACCCCAACGTCCTTTTCCATATGGAGCCCAGCGATACAGAGGCTTCTGTTTGCCAGACTTGCCAAAGCCCTTGGGTGGATCGGCCTGTCGGCCTTTGGCACCACTGCTGGTCTTCTTGAGAGAATCTTCCTTGGCCATGTGTTCGGCAAAGCGGTCATAGTCATTGATGATCTGCTTGGCTGCCGCAGAAAAGGTCATGCCATCCCGCATTGCCATAGCAATGCGCCATCCACAAGCGCTCCAGTACAAGCTCATCTGCTCGCATTTGGCTGGCCGAGACCTGGCTCTCTGGCACATCACATCGCAGTACTCAGTGATGTCCAACTCATCACCCAATTGCACCGAGATCATGGCCCATTTGGCCGCCACGATGCCATCCAAGACGGCCAGAATAGAGCGAGGCTGCCAAACCGCTTCCTCCTTCTGGACCAGGGATCCGTCCTCCACGTAGAGGTTCGTCAGTTTCTTCTGACCTTTGGCAAGGGGATTCAAGTCCCCGTTGCTCTGGAAGGATCGATGTTGGAGGATCTCTCCAAGGTGGAGAGGCGTGTAGAGCTTGGATCGATGATGCTCCCACCACACACGAGCCACTATCGATTCAGCTCCCATCAATTCCTTCACCGGAAACTGTCGGTCCCTTCCATGGAGTTGCGCACTGTTGTACTTGTTCAGCAAGGAACTCCAAACGCCATTTGGGAGCGTCTTCGGGACTTTCTCATCTTTGGGGTCAGCCGGAGAAGTGGTCGGAGTGGCAGTCTGTGGGGCCACCACCTGAGCATTGAGATGGTTACCTGCAGATTTCAGCCAATGACTACGGGCCAGGTTCCACATGTGCAAGATCATGGCGTGGGCTATTGGCTTGTCAGCATCCGCCACCGTGGCCACATTGGGTCCATCCTTCCAGCCAGCCATCAAAGGCGTAATCAATGCCTTGTCCAGCTGGGTCTCATCTGAAGCTATCAAAGCAAGAGTGCCCACCGTGGTTATGCCGCGAAGCTTCAGGTACGAACGCACCACCGGCGAAGCAGCTGCTTCATCAGCCACATCGTCTAACGACGGTAGTCCGCCCCTCATGCTGGGCCAAAAACTGAAAGGACAAACGTCCAAACCCTGCTTGCATGGTGCTTGATGACTGGAGAAATCAATAAAACGGTAAAATCCAAAGCAAGGAATCAACGGAAATCGCAAGAAGCCAAATGAGAGAGAGAGAGAGAGGGATGGCAGGACCTGATCCAATGATTGCACATGACATCAAACGACGCCCAGGTGAGGATGCTCGCACAATTAAATGAACACGTAAATAAATAGAAATATACATGTATACACACACATATATCCATGCGACTCGAAAAAAAAACGAAATGCTATGGATATAGATCAAACGATCAAATGCAATGGAAATAGATCAAACGATCAGCTGACGCGGCGTGTTCCCTCGAATTTTCATCGCACCAGGTTCGATCCAGGGAAGCATATGGACTCTGTGGTCGCTTCCTCAACTGGGTTCCTCATCCGAGGAGTCTTCGGAGGTGGACACCCCGCTGCCATTGGATGCGGATTCATCATCGTCCGCCGTCGTGCCAGGATCATCTGAGAAACACTTGCGGCATTTGCTGTGTTCAATCGAAAGCTGCTGCACTCTGTAAAAATCTGAGTTGCCGTATGCCCAACCGCATTTGGCTCGCCAGGACGCAGGCGGGTTCTGTAGCTCATCAAGTTGGGCCAAGTGCACCTTGCGCGATCTCGCTCTGACCACGAGGGTGCGCTCAGGTGGCACCATCGCTGATTGCAGAGCAATAACCGCTGCTTCAAGGGCCGACACTCGTGTCAGTGCCGATGGATCCAGCTCAAGTGCCGTCAATGGTGCCTGAGCCGCTTGTACATCAGCATTTGCAGAGACGCCCAAGAAAGGAGTTGCCGCTTGCGCTGTTGAAGGGCGGCTGTGGGTCGCATGCCATGCCAGTCTCGTAGCGTCCTCACCTGGGCATTCAAAATTGGAGAGAACCTGTGCTGGCACCTCAGGAACGATGGACAATGGTGCCATCTGAATGTACCGTTCCACTGCCATAGAGCTCCAACGGCCCAACAGTTGGATCAGCGGTGTAGGTGTCCCTGCACTGGCCAAAAACTGTGCGCCCGAAACTCTCAAAGTGTGGCCACCAAACCGCCGCTTGAGGTTGCCGCTCTCGTCGACCCGTGTCAGTTCGATGCCAGCAGATTGCAGCACCGACTCGATAGCCTGGATCATGCACTGTTTGGAAGGAGCCAAACCGTCTGCAGTTGGAAAGAGTGGGAAATGTTGTTGTGCCCGATAGGCCTTGTGGCCGTACACACGTACCAGGTGTCTTTCAACTGCATGCCAGGGACATAGCCTGGCCGGATGGCCTTTGCAAGCGCAGCCCAACGACCTGACTGAAAGACTGCCAGCAGTTTCGGTTTTGTGCACCGGCAACAGTAAGTGTGCCAGGCCTCCCTCAACGTAGAGATGTTGCACCTTCGCTGAACTCATTTCAAGTTCTCGGAGCATCCACCAGGAACCAATGATAACCATGTCGGTACAATGTTCCACAGATGAAAAGTCAAAGGAGTCCTCGTCGTCGGACACTGTGGCGAAGTGCAACTTCCAAACGTCGAAGGAGTCCTTGAGTTTGGCTGGTCCGAGGCCCCTCTTCACAGATCGCACCACTTCCTTGATGGTGTCCCGGACCAAGGAATCTACTGGCAGGCCCAACGATCGCATCTGATAGCCAGAAGCCGCCTGGAAGTAAAGTTGAGGGCTCCTGTAGAAACCGGCTTTCAAGGAAGCAGCCACGCATCGAACGCTTTCCAATGAAAGTGGGAAAGCTGGCACATCCCAAGCTGAGCACAGTGCCCTGTATGTCTTCAACCTGGACTCCTGAGCCGGAGCCGAGCTCTTGGCCAAAATGTCAGCCTGAAGGTTGTCCAGTGCCCTTTTGCGATTGTTTGGAGCAGCGGCCTGAAGCGCCAGCGTAAAACTTGCACGCTGATTGGAGGCATGGCAGACCGGGTGGTCAGCTCTACCCCTGTGGATCTCAGGGTGGTTGTCCTTGCTCAAAGAAGCCAGGAAGGATTCCAAGTCAGCCTGAGAGATGCCTGCTGTCCGCAGGTCAGAGATCCTCCGGGTCACATCATCGACTGATCGAACCCCATTGTTCACGAACGCCACGGCGAGGTGCGAGAGGCCCGATGTCCTAAGGGCTTCCCACAAGCCGGCTATGGGCTGATCAGCCATCTAGAACCGCCAAGTGAGATCAACGCTCAAGCTGATGCCATGTCGCACTGGACGATTCACAAACTGTTCTAAGAAAAAGAGTATCAGGCTCCTAACCACAAAGGCTCCTTACAAGCCAGCTATGGGCTAAACAGCCACCTAGAGCCATCCAAGTGAGAGCAGTGCTCAGGTCGACGCCAAGTCGCATCAAACGATGCATAAACTGACCTAATAAAAAGAGTAGATCCATCCAACCGAGATCAACGCTCAAGCTGGTGTCATGTCGCATTGAACAATGCTCAAACCGATCTAAGATGATGAGTATTAGGTTCCTAACTGCATCAAGTGTCAACCAATGAGTGCCCGGAAGACAGCGGCCAGCTTATTCATGGGACGACGAGTCCACTAAACCTAAGAAAAGGGAAAGGAGGAAGGGAGAACGGCTAGGCAAGCACTGGGAAAAAGGTTCAACAGACGACCGACAAAACTGAATCCCATCAACTTTATACGCACACCACAAGTTGTGACCGCATGACCCGATGGTTGGGTATTGGCGGTTGTAAATATACCAAGAGCCATAGTGCCCATTGCCTAGAGCCCGACTGTCAGGTCGAATGCAGGCATGTAGACGTCTGCATGGTGATGAGCTGTCCAGCCGCCGGCAAATCACTGGGAAGCCCCCGTAGGCTCATTGGAAACACGTGAGGTTCGTTGGATGGCCTCAAGGTTGATGTCACGGTTGGCCACTGCCAGGTTCAGCGCATCCATGATATTCTTGATGCCGACCGCGATGACCTCCAAAATGGGAAAATTGTCGAAGTAGTCCAACTCTGACAGCGTCGCCAGCAGGGCAAAGAGGCGCCTGTCGAAGCTCAAGCCGTTAGGACCATTGAGGCTGAGTCTCCAAGTCCTCATAGCTGGAATCGCCGCTGCCATGTCGGCACGGATGCCCTCAAGTTCCCGTTGGAGCGATGCGGCTGTTGGCATGGCAGAAGGTTGGTTCCAAGACAGGTCTCCTTCAGAGGCCGCGCCCAAAGTTTCGGAGAGTAGTGGACCACACTGATGAAAGAAATCAACCAAGTGGGGAAGCAGGTCCAGCATGGGGTTATCCGGAAAAGCCAGGAGTTGCTGGCTAGTGCCCCACATTGCCATGGCATGGAGAAGCACACATGGGCATGCGGCGTTTTCAGGCCACAAACTGTCACGTGCCCGCTGCGAATCGATGAGCAGCTCAAGGAGCCACCACGCCAATCCAGCAACCATGGCTGTCAAACTAACCAATCTACTCAACCCTGCCAGGATTCTGGATGCTATCCTCGTAGCCGCTGAAGGGCTTTTTGACTTGAACCTCACACCACTCCACAGAAAGAATCAAAGGTTAAATACTGCAAACTCACTCACTTGATTGTCACAACGCATTGTTATGCTCCTCAACAAAACGCTAACAACATAGTTAGACATAGTTGTTCGTGTCTTACATGTAGTTTCCATCTACCTGTGTCCTGTTCATGATAAAGTCCTTTAAGAGGAAACCGGG